CTACGAACGGAGCAAGGACGCTACTAGGAGCAAAGGGCATCGCTACTGGGAGCAAGCAGCTACTAGGGGCTCCTGGCCATACTACTAGGAACAAGAAGCTACTACAGTAGGGGCTCCTGGAAGGTGACTGGGAAAATGTTTGGTTCAGCATCCATCTGGGAGTAGATGTCAGCCACGCCACGTCAGCCATGGTTTGTTGGTCCAACTCTTGTAGTCAGTCCATCCCCGCATGTCAAATGGAATTGGTACAGTACATACTCATACCACCCCTTTCTCATCACCAAATTGCTTCCTTCATGTTGCACTTCGAAATGGATGTTTGTGATGTTGGGATGGCTGTTTCTGGGCTTGGTTTGCTGTGTCGCTGGTGTCGGGAATGTTCAAATGGCATCCCTGGGGATTGAAATTTCTTTGTTCTGCTGAGCAATGTCCAATACCAAGCGTTTCCCAGATCCCCATCAAGGTTACCATGGTGAAAAGAAACGGAGTGCATCCCTTGAACAAAATATCACGAAATCTGCAGCACCGAGAAACTGTCGGCAAAGCTCCCAGTTGATCTTTAGCGCAAGCATCAGAACGAGAAGAAGCCAAGAGCAGGAAGTTCCTGTGGCCAGAATGTCAATCCTACTTTTTTGCTGCGCACGGGCCTGCTACCATTAAAGAATGAGGGTGTCCACTTCACCATTGCCCTCTACACTGATCCTACTTTTGTGCTGCCCACGGGCCTGCTACCATTAAAGAATGAGGGTGTCCACTTCACCATTGCCCTCTACACTGAGTCAACCGCCGGAAGGGGTAAAAGCATAGATGGAAGAACAAAAGTCACCAAGATTCGAAGTTCAAATGGCCAAAGCAGCCGACGCAAGAGCATACCAGACCCGAACAGGATAAGTCAGACGCATGCCGCCAACGAAGCTGGACAAGAAGCCAAAACCAAAGTCCTGAAGTAGGGACATATTCTTGTAAGATCTTGTAAGATAGATCCGCAGCCTGCAAGCTTTAATCACAGAGGTGAACATAACACGGAAATGACACACTGCTTTGTGAAAAGAACCCTTCGAAACCAACCACTCCACATCATTGCCCTGAGTGCAATAATCTAGGAACACCCAAACCTACGGGACTCGCGAGTCATTATTGTCGTCGTCCAAACATTATTTTCGTCGCGCGAAGGAAAAGTTCTAAGCCCTCTGAGGCCCACAAGTGTTCTGAGGGGTTCAGAATTTAGATGGTGCAGGGTGTCCCTTCCATCCGATCATATCCAATCCCACAGTGGAGTTTCTTGGTTGCGCTCCAAACCAAGGCACCAATTTCTCGGCCTAAAACACTTAAAGCAGAAACCAAACCAAGAAGGGCCCTCATCATTCATGGTTGAACTCATTGGGAAGCTGTCAACCCACAAATGAATAGCCGCTGAATAGCCTCCCCTGAGGAAGGGGACTCGATGTTATGAGATCCCTTCAACATCAACAAATGGACCAGCCGAATTGGCATGGAGTTGTGCTCTATCTCTGGCCACCAAAGGAGATCTATTACAAGAATCACACCTTTGCCATTGAGGTCTGCTACCCCACAGAAAGTGCATTCCCACGTACCAGTACAGGTTTCTTTCACCCAGCGCCCATGAAAAGTGCATCGCTCCTAATACTAGGATCGCGGACTGCGTGCTGTTTCCCACACCTGGCGCTCAAGACGCTGCAGCATGCATGCCGGTTCAAGAAAATGCTGATGTATATCTATCAATACTAGACGTTTGACAGCGCGAAAATCCAAAAGATATCCTGTGCGCCCTGGGCGCCAGTTTCTGTCGGGGCGAAGCGAAGACAAAGTGTACAAGTGTACTGATCCAGAGCTCAGCGAACAACACACCCGGGGTTGCATTCCAGGGGCTTCTGCAATAATCTTGGTCTGCTCTGTTCACCCTTTCTTCGCCTTGCGGAAAGACACAGATGTTGCTGATGTAGCCTCGGTCGATCATCGGACGGTTGGATCGAACAGGATTCCAGGCAGCTGTCTGAACCGGGAAAGGCCAACCCGAACCGATGCCCAATAAGACCGAAATACGGCCGACATGCTACCCAACTCATTTGCCTACCAAACTGAGCCTCGAAGAAGGTTTATGGACCAGTTGCTGCACCTGTTCATGACGACTGTTCAAATCCGAACAGTGTAGATCTCTTTTGTGTCCTCCGGAAGAAGATCCTCCGGGGGACCTATTGATCCTTCAAAGCTCTGAAGCCAAAATAGCCAAAATGGCTTGATTCCCAAATGGATAGTGGCACGGTGTTCAATACATGTTTAGTGAGGATCTACTTTTCTATCTGTTTGGGGGTCCATACAACTGAGATGAATATCCAAAGCCTCACCGTCGTGCTCCGCCCAGTGGCAGCCAATCAAAGTCACCTAAAGATCCGAGCGAAGATTTCGGGTTCAACCTAATAGCAATGGTTTTGAAGGCCTCCAACCTCATAGCGATGGCCTCCAACCTATGATGAAAGCAAACGCAGCATATAGATGTTCAGTATGATTCGTTCATGGCTCGGTGCACCGGCGAACGAAGCGAACGGACGACTCCGCTTCGATGTTGTGTATTGAACCTTACCCGAGGTCGTTCCGACCAGCTGCCGCCGTTTCCGCTTGGTGATTGGTGTCAATGCACTTGTTACTAGTTACTACTAGTAAGGCACCTGTTACTCCCGCAAATCTGTCTCCGTTCAGCCTCTTCATCTCCGGCCTGAAGGACGATGACCCAGGCCAGTCCACGCTTCCATTGCCATCGCTTCAGGCAGAAGAGTTCCACCAAACCGCCCACAATGAAGGTCACGTGTGTCCTTTGTCGATGCTGGAACGAAGGAGCAAAGGAGGGAGGGAGGAATGAACCATGCCCCAGTGGAAGAGGTGGATTCTATGAGAGTGTGACGCCCCGTTGGCAACGGGTCTCTAGATTGATCTAGCACCACTGCCACGCTGCAGCTCTATAATTCACATTCCAATCGAAAATCACCGCTGGACTCTGGACCGTGCTTCCTTCTCAAAGCCAGTCATCAGTCAAGTCCAGAACCTTTGTGAACAGTCTTGGTTCACATCTGCACCTTTTGCCAACATCGTCTGGCCATGCCAAGTGCAGTCCAACAGTTGGGTGACTTACTAAGTCTTATACTACTTACAGTAGATTCCTAGGTCCATCCTTTACATCCACTCCTTCGACCGTCCAGGGCACCCCCAAAGGATCAGCAAGGGTAGGTTGCTCTGCAGGGTCCAGGCCATTGGAATCACCTCAGCTCCGAACGCGAGCATTCGTGGTCGAACGCGAGCGTTCGTGGTGAACTGGTCCAGACTGGTAAGAAGCAACCATAACCATCGGTCCATGTTTTTTCACGAAACCGTTTTCAGTGGTACTGGCTGATGTCTGATCAGGTGAAAGTCTGTGCTAGTGTCCATGTTATGAATTAGGGCGACCCTATATGTTGTCCTTAACGCCCTCAAGGCAACATGCAAGAAGAAAATGGGTGACGCAATTCCCCCACCCAAGTGGCTGCGATGGCGAAAGCCAAGTGTGGCGCAGGGCCCAAGGGATGCAATGCTCTGGGATATCTCCTTGAGTGCGTTGTCAACGTGGCAATGGTTTGGGACTTCATTGCAAAAACCTGCTAAGAAAAAGAACAGACTTGCACTAGCTCGGGACATGAGACACGTGTGCGGCTGATGCAAGTGAGAACAATCTAAACGTCACCCAAAACAAGCAATCCAGTCCAGAGGAATTCGCCCGTCGCCCAGATCAGGATCAGCGGGGACCTGGGCCGTGATATTCAGCCAGGTCTGTCTAAAGCAAGTGGATGTGTCTTGAGACGAGTCTGAGAAAAAGCGCCTTCACGCCCGAGTTCATCTGCGTTCGACACATCGGAGCGGCTTTGTCTTGCTTCAAGCGACACAAGGATGCAAAGCGCTGCGCGCAAAGAGCGAACTAAGCAGTCTCTGGTTGGCAAGCACCTCCAACCTGCTTGCCTGGCGAGAGAAGCGACTGACCCTTGGTGAGGACTTTCAATTGGTTGGGTCCTGATTTTCGTTGCCTAGGCTCCTCTATGGAGTCTAGAGGCTTTATCAGGCAGACTGTTGACTTATAAAACTTCATTTCTATCTGACTCCCTGACTCAGTCTCCCTGGAAAATAGAGGCCTGTGTTCTACCCCTTCCTTTTTGAAAGGAAAAACCATTTCAAAAAAAAACAGAGCTTCTGCAGGTTGTCCACTCGTCCGATCCACCCACCGAAGCGACGTCCCGGGTCGCGCGCCCGGTCGCGCACCTCCCCAGCCCGAGCTTCGCCGCGAGCGTGGCGGCGGCCACGGCGTAGGGCACGGCGAAGGGCCAGGAGATGAGCCCGGCGATGACCCAAACAGTCAGCACCTGAGGCGCGACGGAGACGTCGAGACGGAGACGTGGCAGATGGGTTTCCCGGGTGCCATGACCCACAGCCGAGTCGAGATGCGGCACATGGCGGCGGAGTGGGGGCATAGTTCGGAAGCCCGCCACCTCCCAAGCCAGAAATTCATATTCACCAGGAAGTCTGGGGAAGTCAGAAGGCATGCCCATCTGACCAGGAAGCTGAGAGTCATATACCTCCCTCGTCTGCATCGTCGACCGAAAGCCCAGCTCGGTGAGCCCAGCGGCCGTGACAAAGGACATCGCCTCCGCGAGGTGCTTGGCCAGCTCTTGCTGCCCCGGCACGAAGAGCCGTTGCCTGGGACGAGCCGCGTCATGGATGGCAGGGTGGATGGATGTGGATATGGATATCATGGCCCTTGTGATGGCCAGGGTCATTTGCCAACTCTTTGGACGGGTAAACCTCAGAAAGCGGAACGTATGATGTGTTTGACTCACTACAGGCGTACATCTGGTAGGGAGCCCAACCAAATCAAACAAGCTCTCCAAGGAGGGCGCACTTCAATTCTGCTGAAAAGGCTGTGCGTTCGGTTTCACGTTCGCCCACGTATCTCTCATTGCCAAGCGGCAGAAGCCAATGCTGCGGCGGAGCCCGATGTTGTGGAAGTGAAACGAAGAGCACCCAAAGGCGATAAATGGTCACCAAAGCCACGAAGGTAACCCCCAGAGCTCGCAAAGGAGTCAATAAATTCCCATCCATCGCGCACTCCTGAAAAAAGTGCGACAACAGGGTCTCATATATAGATGGGTACAGAGAGGTTTCCTCTGCGTAATTTGAAGTGTAACTGACGAACTGATGGCAGTGCTTTTATCCCAAATAGAAAGGGTACTTGGAGGGTGGCAGATCGGGAGACAAGCTGGACGCTTGCTCCATCTTGCTCCTATATAGATCACCATTTACTTCTCAGATGTCGCTACGTTTGGCAAATGCAAGAAATCAAACATTAAACGAGAGTCGAAGGCCCGCATCAGTCCACACAAACATATGTCATATCAGGTGTCCAGTGGCCTTTACCTTCGTTCCCTTCTCCCAGCAAACTACGGCCATGCCGCCAGACTACAGATGGACCCAGCAGACTGAGGCGATCATCCGAACCGACACCATTCGCGCATCGCGCACCTGATAGAGCATCAACAGGCCGAACAGAACCAAGACGCGGCCACATTGGGCGGCGCCGGCCCTGGACCCATATGACAGCGACCCCACTCGACTCATCGGCTTTAGGCTTAAGACATGCTCCTCCGCGACAAGAAAACATATGCACACGTGGTTAGTGATCTCACACATGTCATCCATGGGAAGCTGAAGGAAAGCCGGAGCTGATAATTGTGTCCCATTCCCGGTGACAGTGGACGATGATGGTTCGCAAAGGCCAACTGTTACTGGATGTTACTGGTAATTATATAACGGGCCACACCCTAAGCATACGTATGTTTTTCTTTGTTTTTATCTTCTTTCGATCACAAGCTGCATGAGTATACTTAAAGAATGCAAAAAGTCATCGGAACACCGCCTCTCTCGGAGGTTCCGGACGTCCGGAACCTCCGTCGGAAGCGCCTGCAGTTGTGGGAGACGAAGTCCCGGACGCCCGGCACCCGCTCAGAGCCTCGAGAAGTGAGCAGCACAGGCGCTTGAAAAAGGCGAACGCTAAGCTCGTTTCGGAGAAGTTCCGAGGGTTTAAGGTCTCAAAAGCACAAAGACAATGCTGGTGGACCTAAACATGTTGCAACTTTCGAACGCCATCTGGATGTTGACCCCTAACTCAGTCCCTAGAAGATGAAGCCCTTCTTCATGTGAGAATTCGCCGCTTTGGTGCATTTGTCCCATGAGAGTTCGCCAAAATAAAACAATAAAACCCACTCATCTCCACTCAAAATTCCACAAGTTCTCAGTTCATTGCTCTCCTTTTCAGATGGAGTTCATAGTATCAGTTCCATCCATCACTCCCCTCCGCACCCACCTCGCCTTGGTACGGCTGATGACACACCGAGCACCGCGGCGGCGCGTCGTCGCGCGCGCTGCGGCGGTGCCGGCGGATCCACTCCTCCACGCAGCTGGCATGGACGCCACTCATGGAGCCGCGGCACCTCGTCCCGTGGAGCAGACTGGACTGCTCCAGGACCCACCGATGAATCATTGGTCTCGTTGGTGCGACCGTTTTGGTGTTTTTTGTAGTGGTCCGACCGTTTTTTGCATCACGGTTTGAGTCATCAATTGTATCCTGTTTCTGGTTTTGGGCGCAGCCAGCAGAAGTTGTTGGAGTTTGCAGTTGACAAGCCCCCCACGGGCTCGTAAGTCTCTGCAGGTGGCACTTGTGTCGGCATGGGCTTCAGCATGGTTTCCTCACACTTTACTACTCTGCGGCCTTGGGTAATTCATGTTTTCTATCAAGTAGCTGGAAAGTGATAAGTTGGTGTACTTTGCACCAAACCAGCACCAATCCACCCAACCCCCAAATCATTCCAAGTCCCCGCGGCAGGGCCACCTCAAAGAAGAAAAAAACACACACACAACGTGACAACGCACGAAGACTGCGTCATCCCACTCCACGTTTTCTCTGCGTATCTTCCAAAAACCAAAAGACCGAAGACTGGGACGAAGACTGCGCCGCGCGCGACTGCGCGGCCTGCAGGGTTGGATCAAGGGCTCTCCAGTGACATCCCGGCAGATCCAACACTCCGCCACGCCCTCCGATCCTTCGGAGACGGAGGGTCGTCGGCCTAGGTCAAAGCGGTGAGGGGAAGACTGGAGGGTTGCGTGGTCTTTCTTATATAGTAGGTTGATGCGTGCGGCATCTAAGTGCCCAATTCCATTTGACCAATGAATGGTATCAAGGGAATGCGGTCTAAAATGGCAAATCCGCTCATCAACTCACCACCAAACACTATTAAACACTACTTGATGTCGACTCTTGCTTAATAACCCCCCTGCATTTGAGTTCTGCAACCTCTTCATATGGGGGCTTCATTCATCAAGAGTCAAGAGTCTACATGATCATCTTGCACGAGCTTTCCCTTCATCACTTTTCTTCCTGATTGCCAAGATGTCAGCATTTCAACAGCTGAAACAACCCCAAACACCTTAAGAGCCCCTGATTACATCTGATTACATGACTCCAGAGCTCTTCCCATAGAAATCCCAGGTGCTGTTGGCGGCTTCCAGATCCTCGGCATCCTCGGCTCTTTCCGCGGCTGTCTCGGGCCGCTCTGCGTCCGCGGTCACAGAGCCTCCGCACGTCTCCGGTGAGTCCGCCTGGGCGACGCTCGACCGCACCGGTGGAAGCTCCGAGCGCGCTTTCGGTCATCCGCTTTCGGGGCCAGGTCAGGGAAGCACCAACGTCCGGAGAAAAAAGAAACAAACAGGGCAACCAGGCCCCAGAGTACTGACCTCAGAAATCAAACCAGGCCCCCCAAGTCAGTGCATGGTTCACGTCGTCAACCAGCCACCACTCGGGTGTTGGATCCGGAATCCGACCCAACAAGGGGGTCTCCCCCTCGAACTGGTTCATCTCTTAGTGATATTCAGGAGTCCCACCCACTGTCTCTTGCGGTCCTCCGTCTTGCACCGCCCACCATCCTCAACCTGTCACTAAAACCAGGTGGCGATGGCCTAAGAGCGGCCTCCGCCTATGACATGCTTTCGTGCTTTCCTCATTCTTCATCTGTCCGCACACGTGGCCCGGTGGCCTCCGTTCTCTCCACATACTCCGGAAACAGCTGCCGGAAGAGCTCATCCTCGGCGTTGCTGCGCCGCGACTGCCGTGCCAGGCGCACACGCTCCTCCCGCGAGGCGCTCATCGAGCCATAGCCGCGCTCCTGGAAGGAGAAGGGGGGTTCATCTGTAGACGTAGATCAGCCAAGTAAGGATACTGTTCAAAGCCAACATTTGGATCCAAAATGATCCAAACATTAATGACTCACTGTTGATCTTTAGATCAAGCAAGCTAGTTACTCCGTTCATCTGGTTACCAAAAGAACCGCCGGATGCTGGTCGTGTTGCCATCTTCAGCCTCAGAGATGAAGAAGGAGAGCAATCCCACTAGGATCGTCTCGACAGACCAAGCAGGATTCCAGCTCTCCTCACGTGCGTTCCCGTCGCGTGGCGTGGTTCCACGTCGCGTCTCCAGGGTGAAATGCACGAGTCGGAGCACTGTTGCAAGATGAATGAAGCTTGTCTGCTGCCCATGTGGCTCAATGTACTCTCTTGATTCATAGCCCCCCCAATTGAATTGGAAATCGTCTTCATATGGTGGGTCTATTAATCAAGAGTCTACATTACTGCAATTTTCTGCTTATTAAATTGAAACAATTCCACATCGTCTTTACATGTCTGTTCCATTCTTCGGTCACCATTTCCTCAAAATCCTGTATCTCCACATGGAAAGACTGACTCCTGAAAATCGTCCCCGCCCCTTTTGTCACAGTGCCCCCCCGCCGAAAAGACACCGAGGCGCTGGATGAAAGTCCGTCATGCTGAGGCAAAGCCTCTTGCGGGTCTCCAAGCGCCCAGAGGGTGTCATCATCAAAATTGCTGGGGGAGCATGGGGATACTCCGAAGGGAAAATCACCTGCAGGCTGCGCCGATGCAAGGAGATCAACGGGTGGAGGGATGGAACTGGAGTAACTGGGAGGGTGTGGGCAAGGCCAAGCTTGCTGGAAGTGCTGTGACCATGTAAGCCAAACCATGCGAAAAATGGTGTTTAAGTTTAGTTGAGCTCGTCATAGGGATCGAAGACGCCTCGGAGTATGCGAAGCGACATGACGTTTCAATCGCATTCCCTTTTCGGCCGGCATTTTCGCATGAATCGGAACTCGTGGCAGGCTTTCGTTCCCTGCTGCTTGTGTAGCACCTACGAGTGGCGTAGGCGCCGTCTGGAGTGGACCATGAACATGTGAGTCTACAGATCCGGCGATGGAATCGGCCCGGCTGGGCTTGGTTTGACACAAGGCAATAGCCACTCCCTTCAGTTTGAATGAACTGGGCCACCAAAAGCCATACATCGGAGCAAAAAAAATCTGGTAGGGTCTTCTCCCTGTGGCTCTGGGCCACCACAGCGCCTTACGTTGTCATGTGTTCGCCTGCCGAACGACCCGCCACATACCAGGGTCCATTCGAAGAACATAGAAGACCAAGCTAACAAAGACCGAGCTATCTCGATGATCGACATCGTCCTCTCTAGGTCTCTGACCTTCCCATGGTAGCAGCCCTCGCTGTAAGGCGTGTCGTCCGGCAGTGAATGCAGCAGAAAATGCCACTCCAGCAGATTCTCCTGCGGCGGCTCGTGCCGGCGCGCCTAGACGGATCCTTCATTTTTTCCGGGTTTCGGCAGACTGGTAGGGGTCTCTTGTGACCAGGATGCCACCTAACTACTCGGTCCAGCGCAGCCGGTGCTTCTTCCCATTTCTTGGTGACCGGTCGGTCTCCTCGGCCGGTCGTACCAAGATCTGCGGATTCCCCGACTTGCGCAGCACCTCGAGGTCCCGGCGGAGGCGCCTGACGGTCGTCCCAAAGAGGCGGGAAAAGCGCATGCCAGCGGAACGCGACCGGGGAACGTCCGTGTTGTTCCCACGCACACACGCGTTTGGATGTGCTTCTCCGTTTGGATGCGTTTGGATGTGGAAGGACCATGAAGAACCTGTTCAGAAGTCTGGTTTGGCTCCAGTGAGGTGGACACAGTGGAGTGACCGATCACCCTCGCTGAGTTGTCCCCCCCTCCACTGATACCAAAAAGAGCACAGTTCGATTCGATAAGGCGATCAATCTCTAACGATCCAATTACCTTCTCAGAAAGTACTTGGACCCTCCAAACCACCTACATAAGAGTGTCTCCAATCACCTTCTGAGAAGTTACGGCTGGATCCATAGGGTATAAGGGAAGACTCAGGATCAGCGGTGCTCATCATCTGGAAAGTGGGACAAGCAGACTCAACAATCCGAAATGCCCCAAGATGGTCTTCCTCAGTAGTCAATCTGCCATATACTTCCTCGTCCAAGGTTCGCCCGGGAACTCGGCGCAAAGGGAAAGAAAAGGACGATGTTTATCTCAAGGTCTGAAGAGAAAAGAAAACAAGTGATCTGGCAGACCAGTAGCACCAGACCGACCGGTCGACCGGTCGACCGGTCGACCGTTCGGTGTCGCTGTCGGTCGACACCGCGCCACATGATTCTATGATCCAACCGTTGGGCGATCTGGCCCATTCCCATCTTCCCCCTTTAAAGGTTCAGTGACCTTCCAAAATCTTCCAAAGAAAAACGCCACTGCCCACCGGCCTCACAGCAGCACTGGACGCCGGCGCTGAGGAAGAAGAGGCGTCCATTGAAGGACCCGCACGGGGCGCGGGATGGATGTGCGTCCAATCTGGAGGGTGGGTGGCTGCTGATGTTGAGGAGGTGAATCCGAGACCAAAAGCTTCACGAATTCCGCTGATTTCGCTGAGAGCTCTGCTAATTTCATCGATGTTCCTTTCGAGGGGTCGCAACTGCAAAGATCTCCTTGTTTTACAAACACTGCCGGACTGGATATAGGCCTGCATAGACATAGAAGGACCTGAGTTGGTGGTAGTCCTTTTTCCAAATGCATCTAAATAGCTGTGCTTCTGTCCCTTTGCAGCCCGACGTCCTTCGACTTTTTTGGCCGCAAAAGGCTTTCATGCATGGCCAGTTTCATGAGCTTCAAGCATTGTTAAGGATGATTTTCTCCCTTTATTGTACCTTTTGCGATCATATTGATGGCCCACATCTTTGAGCCGGAGTGAGCCTCAGAGGTCTTCGAGTTCGCGCCCGGCAGCTTGCAAGACTCGAACAGTTCAACCAACGACGGCCACAGCTACGGCAGCAACAGCGCGATGGTCGACTGGACTCATTGGACTCAGGACGTTTGCTTCGGCTCAGGTCGAGTTCAAGCACGAACACGCGGTGACTCAGGATTCCTGCTCCCAGAGCACCTCCGCAAAACAGACATTGAAGGTGAAACACCTCTACGATGAAGGCCGTGCTTATCTGAATCTTCCCAGGGCTGTTTCCATGCTGATTTAGCAGAAGGTATGCACATACCAACGGGACCTTCTGCTTGTTTGATTCCTTTCATAAAGATTCATCAAGACCCCTCAACAAGACAGACTCAAAGTTCCTTGAATGTCACTAGAAGCAGGTTCATTTGTTTCACACACGTGAAGGACCTGGCTTGTTCTGAGTCTGAGGCTGAAACTTCTTTCGCCCCAGTCACCAAAATGTACACCCGTTTCCCCTGAAATGTTTTTTGTTTGGAGGAAAACATGGGTGGAGAAATCTTAATGTCATACCTAGCGACGCCAGTTCCCAACTTCCGCTTCGCACTTCACGCTTCATTTTTGGCCTCACAAGAAGCTCCGCAGGGCCTGGCGTTCTCAAAATGATCGTTTCTACAACTGGAAGGTGGGCTGCAGAAGGATTGGATCTCTTCAGCTCTTGGAATCTACTCGGAAGCTATGACTCCTCCGTGTTTTCATCCACCCAGGCCCAACCAAGGTGCTTTCGAACACTGCTTTGGGTACGATCCGATCCACTGCGACAGTATGTGACGGTCAGGTGATGGGTTATAGCGGCGCACGTTTGCTCCAAAAAAAAGGCTGATAGCAATGGCCTCCACCATACTTGCGATGGCCTCCAACCTAGTAGCTTCTTGCTACTATAGTAGCGATGCCAGGAGCCCCGATCGTAGCGTCCTTGCTCCGTTCGTAGCGATGCCCTTTGCTCCGTTCGTAGCTTCTTGCTCTTGCAAAAGATTAAGGGCAAACTCGGGGCACAAACAAGTCCTCACGGCCGTGGAGCGGGAAAACCTATATTGACGCGTCGCGCTGGTTCCGCTAGTTGTTTTTGTGTCCCATAGTTAGACTCGGTCATTCAAGAAGAACTAAAAGAACCCTGAAACATCAATTGTGTTTAATCGTCTATCTATTATTCTATCACTTAACCATCCATGAACTTTATCATGTTAGCCTGGCCCCCAACGTTTCTCTACAAGTCTACCACCCGGTCGGGCCTCAGTTGAGCGGCGGGGCATCACCTGAGGTAACTCCGGCAGTCACTGCTACCAAGGGAGTGGAGTGAGTGGAAGTGTTGCTATGTTTCTGCAGGAAATCCTTGCCTCAGTTTGTAGCATGATGAAAAAGTAACGCTTTGGTTGATGACCCTGCGAGATCTGTGTTGCAATGTGTTGACTGAATTACAAACCATGGTTCAATTCATCCACAAGGGACATGCAACGTTGTTCACTAAAGTCACTAAAGCCCACCTGGGTGTGTTGCTTTGGTGGGGTTGGACAAAGTGATGGGAATTGATCCAACCAATCAAGTCTGAGAGGACATGGCTGCCATATCTTCCGAGAGGTTGGCCAGAACCCGGCTTGTGCATGTTGCTCTTCCCTCCAAGGCTATCATCGCAAACTCTGTGGAAAGAACAGTCCGCTGCACAAGCGGACTCTTTCACATGGCTACCATGTGCCTAGATGTGCCTAGATGTGCCTAGTCAGTCATCAATTTGTCTTCAGCAAAAGGGTTCTAGGTCCGAGGTGTGTCTGAGCAATTGGCAAATGCTGTGATGTTGACGTGCTGCAAGGTCGACATGCTTGGAGTCTCACCATCCTCTTCCACCGGCCGTTTCTCCAGGGCCCCCGAGCACTCCACCACGGTGGACAACATGCAGGTGCCACCTGAGAAGGGGCCCGACGGCTCAACAACGGTCAAGATCGAAAGAAATCCAAGGACGTTCGGTTGAGGCCTGAGTCACTTGAACCCATATTTTGACTTCGGAAATCATCAGGAATGCATCTGAATTCAATCCCAAACTCCATATGGAGCTCCATGGAGTGCCCTTGAAATGGAGAATGTGAGGGGAACCCTTATTTTTAAGGGTTTCAAGCAGTAGTTGACCGGTTGAACCCCCTAAATCTTTGATCCACCTCCTCCAAAATCTGAAGTCAAGCTCAGAAACCACCTGCTACGCCGGCTACGGCTAGACCTTCCCAAGTTCTTCCCCGCAAGAGCTTGCCGCCCAGGCGCCACCGGGGGCAGTGGCGGTGGGGTGCCCCAGGGGCCAGGCCCAGCACCAGAGACGGGCACCGGAGGCAGCGCGCCCATGCCGAGGCCTGGCTTGCCAGGATTTTGAGGGGTCTGGGGAGGAAAAGCTGCAGGTGAGTACTAGCGATGGCCTCCCTACTAGCGCTGGAGTCACGAGTTTCTGCCGTTCACTGGCATCAAAAGGATCGCTGTGAAGTAGCACAAGTAACGAAATCACACGCAATCCGACTCATCAAGTGCTGCAGCACCCTCTACAAGGATTCGCTTTGAAGGGGTTAAGGAAACGTGTTCTGAAATATTGACAGGTTTCAATGCATCATACGCCTATGGAACGAACACCCCTACGGAGCCAAAGGCCAAAAGCAAACACTACGCCAAGGATGATGAAAGAAGAACCACGGCGACGACCAACACCGCAAGAGAACTCATGCACAAAGGCATCATCGCACGAGTTGGCAAACACACAGACCTGGCACGTTCACAGTATATGGCCTCCCCTCTGTCACCACTCGTGAGCAATACCGCTTGGGACGCTTCAACAACTCGCTCAGAGTAGACGAAGCACGGTATGCCTGTGCCCCCAGCAAGCACTTAGCCCATGTGTCTTGCTGTCATCCATCACCATCGCGGTGATGGGTTGGCCTCAAAGGCACAGAGTGGTATGTCGCCTGCACCCGGCCAGCGGTGCACGGGATTGGCGGTCCCAATGCCTGAAGCCAATCCTGGGTGGGCGGTACTCGATGCTCTCGAGACTTTCAAGTGAAAGGGAAAGAAAGAAGAAAAGAGAATAGGAGAAGCCACTTGGGTCGCATGGCAAACAAACGGCAATTCTGATTTTCATGATGGTGGCAATGCTGAGTACAGCAAACGGAATGGAAACACAACAAATCCTACAGCAGATGTCGCAACTAGCAAGCGCAGCAACAAGTGCAGCGCAAGCAGCAACAGAAGCAACACAGGCTTTCGCCAAAGCCTCAGGTTCAACAGCACAAGGTCTTGAGAGTGCAACAAAGATATTGAAAAGTCCAGACACGTTCACGGGAGATGATCCCTCATCCTGGAAACTTCAATTTGAATCCTGGCTGAGTTTGGTGATGCTCGATTTACAGATTTGTTGACGAAGACAGAGCAAGGAAGTGAACCTGACCACACGGTCTACACGCCAGAGCAAACAGCAATGGCCACACACACACACACACACTGGGTAGAGTGATGTTGTGGGACGTTAGAACGGTGTCAAAGCCGTTGACCTCCTAAGTCCACGACCTCCAGAACACATGCGCAGGTGCAACACCGTCAACTAAGGAGAAACAGTTGACTTGGTTAACCTGCAACAGCCTGCAACAAAAAAAGAGTGGACTATGTCTCATGCTGGGTTCTCGGCTCAGCCCAGTTGCCATTCCAGTGAAAACTGAAGCATGTGGCAGGTACATTCGGATGATCAGTCCGAATATCCCACTCTGTGGGTCCGT